GAATTTTAACGGCGGACTAAGTTTGGAAGTTTTTGGAACGGCAAAACCTTTTGGACCATCCTTTCAACGGATGGTGGAAGGTGGATGGATCTCTGTGGAAATACCCTATTAGGAATGTTAATACACCATCCAAAAATGTCAGAGAAACTCTTGGCACAGCTAAATCTTACGGACCATCTGTCAAAGAGATGATGGATGCTGATCTGTGGGACTAGGCCACAAGAGACACTTAAACGTATAACGAATCACTAGTAGCTCAGTTTGTGGCAGGGAAAGTTTCATTTTCGGGAGCACAAAAACGGATCGTTTGCGAGCATTCCGCCACACTGACATTCGGCAATGCATATGCCCATTCAAACTTTTGAATTTAAATGGCTATTCTTAGCTTACATTTTAAAATCATATAAATCGTTTACCTAGACTGGGACCTAAGTCCGGGACCGATATAGTCACCCTATGTTTGATGTTTCAAGCATAGCTTGCAAATAACTGTCAACCGTTTTTCGCTTTACGGTCTATGCACTAACACAACCAAAAAAAAAAAACGTGTACATTTGCTTTTGGCTCTGAGCAGAACACTTCTCCCTTTGTTTTGATTTTCGGTTGGCTGTTGTCAGTTGAGTTGTTCTTGTTATGCTTATTTAAAAACTTATAGATACCTATGTAGGTATTCTCTAAAACAGCCATTGAGACTGCCACGAAACCAATGTCCAGCTCTATGTATTTGCTCGTGCCTCTTTTTTTCCGTTATAGTGCTGTTCTGACCATAAAGAATTCCATAGATCGCAGTGATACTCCATTGCTTCGGCCCGAGACTCATCATTATTCGCGTTAGGATGCGGCTTGTGATAGCAGCCTTCGTGCTGGCGTATTCCTGGTGCTCCCGAAAGGAGAGACTCGTATCAATCATAACGCCCAGGTCCTTTTTGGGCTGGCTTATCGATGACGGTATTTTCTATTCGGATTTTGGCGGCCTCCACCTTTTTTCTGCTGCTGACCAGCAATGCCTCGGTTTTATGAGGAACAAGGTCCAGTCCAGCGTTGGCTAACCATGCGCTCATCAGCTCGATTTTCCGATGCTCCTTCCTGGCAGAGCAAGGAGAAGGACTCCGTCATACATCAGGGGTGACAATATGGAACCTTTCGGAACCGTGGGGCATCATCTGCAAAAGATAAGGTGGGACCCCGAAACTCGACAAGGCCTCAAGGATGCAGCTCCATCTTGCCCTGTTGAAAGCGTGTCTGATGTCGAGGGTAACGATGAGGCAGTACTCCTTTGCACCACCCTTCCATCTAGTGCCGGTAATTGCAGCCTTTGCAACTTGGATTACCTTCGAGATGGCATCGACCGTCGATTTGGCCTTCGTAAAACCGAACTGACGTGATGGGAAGAGGTCCCCTGCTGTCGTTATGGCTCTTTAAGCGAGTGCTCATAAGCTGCTCCAGAACTTTACCGGCGCCGTCTATAAGACAGATTGGCCTATAGTACGACGGGTCATCTGGCGGCTTCCCAGGTTTCGGCAGAAGCACGAGTTTTTGGGTTTTCCATCTCGCCCGGAAGTATCACTTCCGTAGACAGCTGCTGTAGATCCTAGCAAACTACTACTGGTGAAGAGTTAGGGCTAGATTTAACACCCGATTCGGGACGCCGTCAGGTCCGGGGCCTTGCCAGGCTTAACCTTAATGGCTGCCGACACGATTTCTTCCTGGGTGACTTCCTCAAAGCCTTCCAGAAAGAACAGCCTCGCTGTCTGCGGTAGTTCGCTTATCCTGGGGAACAGGTGATCGATGATGATCCGCATTTTTTCCGCTACAATGGGAACAAGTTTGTTCCCGGCTAGTTTTTTAAACACGGTTTTGTAGGCCTTACCTCATGGGTCGCAGTCAGCAGAGTCGCACATTTCCAGAAAACACCTTCTCTCACTATCCTGAATAGTCTTAAGTAGTCTTCGGCAGGCCTGGTAAGTGTTCGGTCTGTGCTCGTGGGCCGGGGTGCCGCGCGAGCGTTGGTAAAGGCGTCGTGCCTTGACGCAGTCACTTCTGGCCTTGGCTATAGAACCGTTCCACCAGAAGGTTCCTTCCTGGTGTCGGCTGTGGTTCGCAAGCATAACCGAGGTCTTTTGAGGTCTGGCTCGCTTTATCTTCACTTTGGCAGCGTGCATCCGGCTTTGTCCGTTTCGCCGAGATGTTGGAGAATCGCCATCTGAAGTTCTTTCATCATGGCGAACGCGTTCTTCATCGCCTGGTTGAGGCTCCCAACTTTCTGGTCGTTGACTTTCCCAAGAATGTCGTCCAGAATTTCTCCCAATTCCGTTACATCGCGATGTGGTGTTTTGGCCTTCTTAGAGGGATGGGTCCGTTTAGTCGGGCTTGGCGAATCCCTGACCCTCTTCGGTGTGAAGAACTCGTCTTCTGCCCCCTCCGAGGAGTTGGGATGTAGCCCCCGGTGGTGTCCTGAAGCTTGGACGACCGATGGCAGGGACTTTGCTCGCTGTCTCCTACACTTGTCGCATCTAGAAGGCCGCGGGCGCAGCAGCTTTGGTTGCAATGAGCGTTGGAGCCTCCAAAATCCGTGCGCCTGCCGCAGAATTGTCTGCGGTTGGATTTGCACTGTGAATCGCCAAAACGTAAACAAAGTCAATATGTCAACTTTCTGTGTTTATGTTTTGATGAGCTACATCTGTCAGGATCAGCTGAAATCAGAAGGTGGAAGGTTAACGTGCTCTGGGGAAACCGGAGTTTCACTTTGTTCAAAATGAACTGCGTGGAAAGTGAATTGCACCGCAAAACATCGGCTAACTATCGCATAAATAAGTCCGCCAAAGTAAGTCAATTTTTAGCGACGGACTAACTGGGAAGTTCTTGGAACGGCAAAACCTTGGGGACCATCCCTACAACGGATGGTGGATGAATCTCTGTGGAAATACCCTATTACACAAATTAATTATTATTTATTTATTAAAAATTAAGCGGCTTACCAATTCTTAAAGTCAATAACGCCTCATACAAGGTTGTGCGTAAAAATAGTGCCAACCAAGATTTTACGATACAAGAGTAGGTAAGCTAAGCAATGGTAATCAACTAAAATAGGAAGCATCTTGAAGTTTTGATCCCACTTCAAACCACGAAGGGCAAGAAGAAGATTTTTTTTTGTACCGACCAATACGATCGACGTATACTTGATGTTGGGGTTTCCAAACGGGAGTACAATATTCTAAATTAGGACTGATAATCCAATTCTTTCGACTATTGCTTAATAGACCCAAGAACACTCATAGACTTTGTAGTCGGTCCAGTGGCATTATATGAAGAGAATAGCTTATAGGAAATCGCGTAGCCCTATAAAAAGTCATTACGTTATATTTAAAGCCAATCAGATTTAAGGGGTTAGATCGACACCATCTCTAAGACCAATCGATATCAGACTGTTAATTGAAAAACGAAATTTGACATCATCAGCATGAATTAGTGCTCGAGAGTGTGTTATGACAGGAGGAACTAAATAGCAAATTGCCCAATTAACTACCCTGGGGCACTCCAGATGTTTCATAAAACAGGGTTCTTAAGGATAACGCTCTGAGTTCATCCATTTAAGTAAATCCAAGTTAATATATTATTTGGAAAACCAAAATGATACGTTTAAATAAAAAAAAAAATGGTTAACAGAATGAAAAGACCTACCAAAATCTGCGTGTCGTTATGGACGGCAGTTCATGTAGTGACGACTTACACCAAAAACCGAGTAATTGAATATCTGCAGTGTTTGTCCTATGGTAACGAGTAGTACACCAATCTAAAGGTATCGCTAAAAGAAAATGTATTGCATTCCATGACTTAAGGAAAAATTTGGTTCAGAAGAAAAAGCGGTTATTTTTTAAGACATGGCAGATAGTACTCGATAGTACTAGTACGCAGATCGACGAAAACCGTTCGCCGCCTATGGGAGAGAGCGAGTGGCAAATAACCGGCGAATACTTTTCGACGGTCCTTTTTTGCACGCCGGAACTCAGGTCGGCGGAAAAAATACTGGAAATGTGCAGAGCATTGCCAGACGTCTGAGACAAACTCTCGCTTAACGTTTCTCAGGCCCTGGCGAAAATATTAAAAAATTTAATCTTTGGTGTTTATGGATCAATAAAAAATGTAACTCAGGGGTCGTTTAAATTCAACATCTTCAATTTTGCTTTCCCAAATAAGTTTGCTTGTCAACAAGCCCAGCTGATTGACAGTATGACCGAAGCACACCAACTCGGTGAACTCGAAACTGTTCGCCGATTTGAGTACAAGGCTTATTACTGCTTACTATTATGAACTTTTTATGCGATACGTGTTTCGATGAGCTCTTTTTCATCACCTTCGGTTATTTCGGTCCTCAACACTATTTGTGAAAAGTTAACAGCACTGACACCAGAAGCACTGGCTAAGGATCGGCATACAAACATTTGAAAATTTTTATTTGTGGCAGCCAATGCCATTAGCTGAGGGACACCAGCGGTCCAAAATCGCCCTTAAACGCCTTTGTCAAGACGGGAAAAGCAGTCAGCTGACTTTGTTTGGGAACAAAAGGGACCAAAATACGGGAAGTTCATATACGGAAATCCGAAAATGGTATAAAATTCACTTCCAAATGAAAACTGTCCATAATTTTTGTGCTTTTATTTTTATATAAACTTTTGGTAGCCTGAATACCAAGCCTTAAAATGTGTTAACTATTGATACATTCCGGCTAGAAAACCAACAAAATTATACAATTCTTTATCACAGAAGTTGTCACAGCTTATACTATTTTTTTATTCTTCACCGTTGCATTCCTAGATTTTGTTATATTTTAAAACCGCTATTTTCTACTGATAAACAATACCAAAAATAAAATGGCATACCTATATACAAATATTATCAACACAAAATTATTAAAAATCGATGGTGTGCAGGCACAATGAGAATGTTAAAATGAAAATTGTATCGAACTTTCTTAAATGCTCGACTTTTAATAATTTCAAGGAAACTAAATCTTGTTAAATAGACTAAAGTCAATCTAAAGTATATGCATATAAGTCTCGTTATGAGGTGTAAATGTGAATTTTACTATTAACCCTAATAGAATACCTAATAGAATACCTGGTGATTTTATGAAACAACTTCTGAATAGTCCAACTTTTTTAACGAATATAAAATACGTTAAACGCAGGTGCAGTTTTTTCACTTCTACATATTTTAACAATTTATCCTCGTTTCTATTATTGAATGTTTTCAACGTTTTAATCCTAACGAATATTTGTAGGTTGGGGGTGCTTCAAGTTCTAGATCGAAATCCAAGCTCAAAAAAAACAACATGACAGTGTACTTTGTATTACACAACAAACAAAGAAGCAAACTTATATGCCTTTACAGCAACTATACGAAGCTACAGTGGCTCACAGCCTCTTTGAACCAATTACATAAAAAAAACTAAATCTAATCAAACTGAAACCTATTAAAATAATTTAAATCAGGGGTGCCCAAAACTGCATTATGGCAGTTAAAAAAGACAAAAAATTTCATTTGACTTGACCATCCAAAAAAAAAAAAAAAACAACGTAATGTTGGTGCCTTGCTTCGGTCTGATGAGTAACGAATTGGACCGCAAGAAAGAAACGAAAAATTGATAGTGTATAGCAAAATGTGCCCAGCAAGCTTACCTCTGTGCCGACCCTCACATCTCCATAAGCATGTGCATTTACAAAAACAATTGTTCTCCATGTGCATAGGCGTGAGCACCCCTGATTTAAATGCAGGATAATTCCTTTTTATACCCTTGCCGAGGGGATTTCAATTTCAGTCAGAAGTTTGCAACGCAGTAAAGGAGACATTTCCGACCCTATAAAGTAAATATATTCGAGATCAGCATCACGAGAAGAGTCGATCTAGACATGTCCGTCTGACAGTCCGACAGTTTTTAAGCTATCTGCGTGAAACTTTTCTAAAAGTTGTCTTCCTATAGCAGTAGTATATAAGTCAAAACAAGGCCGATGTCCGTCCGTTTCTACCCAAACTAGTCCCTCATCTGCATGAAACTTTCCCAAAAGTTGTCTTTCTATTGCAGGTAGTATATAAGTCGGAACGAGCCGGATCGGACGACTATAGCATATAGCTTCCATAGGCACAATCGGAAAAAAAAACTGCTGTTTTTTAATGGTTAATGGTTAAATATTGCAGAATTACGGTTAAAATTTCATCAAAATCGCACGACTATAACATAAAGCTCTCATAGAAACAATAAAAATATTAAAACAATTATTTAATTATTATTATTAAATTTTTGCGATAGCTGCAAGGGTATATGAACTTCGGCTTGCCGAAGTTTGCTTTCTTTCTTGTTTTGTTGAAAAATTCTTTTGAACATGTAAATGGTTTAAAACTTCAGAAGTACGCTTTCAGTTTTATTTAAATCGGAAAACGGTTTTGTACAGGTGTAATAGAAACGATCGAATAATTGAGCTAAAAATCGTAGTAGCTTCAATGTTTTTCAACATACATGCATATAAATCGAAATTTAGATGTTTTAAATTATATTTAATTTTTGTAAAAGCTGCAAGGGTATATAGACTTCGGCTTGCCGATGTTTGTTTCTTTTCTTGTTATTTATTGAAATAATTTTTGAGGATTTTATAAATACTTTTTAAGTTGAAACAAACAATCCAAGTAACAACTTTGACAAATCTAATGCGTATGTAGTGCATATTTAATAACAGTTTTGATTACTTATTGAATTGATCCCAATATTTTTTTTTGTGGTCGAGCCTCCATTTTTAAGTAAACTTCGTCTGCGTAAGAAATACTATAATCGGCATCCCAAATGTCTAGCTTTTATAGTTTTCGAGATCTCGACCTTCATACAGATCCGGATTAAGAATATATATACATTATAGGGCCGGAAACGCTTCTACCAGTACGAGTAACGGGTTTAAAAAGGATGGGGGTACACCCACAAACAACAAAAATGTTGGTGGAATCAATTTAAAAATTATCAAAACTGGATAAGTTTCTTTGTTTGGTAAATTGTCCATCTTGATGGGATGGCGGAGTACTATTTGCCGTGGAGGAACTCAAAAGTATTGAACTTATCAGTATAAAGTTAAACTGTTCTTGTAGTTTTGTCTAAATAAAGACAAGACTATTTTTTTTCGATGATTATTAGAAATTTATATAAAACATTTATTCCAGATTATTAATCTTGGATAATATATTCACCCGGAATATACAGAAGAACGGTAAAAAGCGGGTTTTCCACATCATTTTTTTTTTGAAAGTTCATAAATAATTTTTTTTTTAATCTCTATAAGGGTTGAAATCATGTCAACCAGGGAGCACCATTTTTTTTAAACCCCACCACATCGGCCTGTATTTAAACGAATTTTGTTTTGTTTTTTCTTGTTATTCTTTTTTTATATTTTCAAAATGTTACTTATGTTTTTTCTTAATTTTTTTTCAATTGAAAAGTCGAAAAACTTGGGCTCTATGCCAGAATGCCCCCTTAAGTGAAGGCCGTCCTCGGACTTCCCCAGCGTACATTTTTGAAAAACTGGCAACTTGTTCTGACGGAAATAAACGTAACGGCGACGAAGATGTGGCACACCGTAACAGTTACTAAAGTAATACCGCTGTTCAAAAGTGGCTCTGTTAGAATTTCTCTTGTAAGACGGTCAATGTGTTGGAGATTTTACAGGCTCAGTTCGTAAGGGAGGGCCAGGTTGAGTTTTTCTTTGTGGCTCGTGATATTCATCAGACACTACATATTTTTTCTTAAGTACATCATAGTTATTTTGAATAGAAGTCTCGTTCACGAAAACATGGCTGTCGAAGGTTACCAAATAGTAAGTCCTAAATTGTTACGTCTAGCCACAGACGCAATGATGCAATGAAGCAACCCAAGTGTAACTAAGCCCTTAGTTAAGTGTCCAAGATACCCAATTTAGTACCAGATTGTGCCGTTCGTTTGAATTAAAGAAAACTTTGTCGCCGACTTAATAACTTTTAAAAATTCTTTTTTTTGTTTATTTGATCTAGGGTTTTTCCTTGGCCTTTCGAACTCTGTAGATCTCGAGTGTATTGCTTCTAAAGGCTATTTATTTAGTTATTAACTGGATCATTTTGTTGCCTCTACTTCTAGATAATAGGATAACCTCCATTATGTCATGCATTTGTTTTTCAATTTTTAAAGAACCGGCTATTTTCGTAAGTGTGCTAGATTCCATTTCGATCTCGACCTTTGAGTTGTGTAAGGGGCGTGCATTCGCAATGCTTATGTCAAAATTATTTGAGAGTCTCGGACTTTAATGATCCTTCGCTATCACAATAAAATGTGTGTGTGTTTAGGAAAAGTATACAATATTTTATAGCCGGATTCTATTGGCGTATTAAAACGCATTTAGCCTAGTGTGCATTTATTAACACAGGAAATCCCAAAAGGCTAAATGCCGCATTATAAATAAATGCAATTAAAAATCATTCGCCCCGAACATTTTTAGAAAAAATACCGAAAAATACTAATTTTTAGCGATGTTTTCTATATGCAAGGTTGGCGCAATTTTTGATTTCTTTCGAACATAAAACTATTTTGTATAAAATTGACTGAGAACAAGAGCGCAAGCTGAAAATTCTGCTCGCAGTACCACAATAAAAAACAGCTGGATCTCTGGCAGGAAATAACTCCCACACAAACTGGGATCCCTGCCCTTTATAGAAACTGTGTTGGTCTCTATTGCAAACTGGTCAAACAACACCATCAGCTTCTCTTCCTTGTTGTCCAATCTGGCAAATGCCTCGGTCGCATTATGGATGTCCTGCTGAGCATTAAAGAGTTGAGTAAACTCACACATATTCATTATTTTTAATTATTTTCCTTTGGATTTGCCAAATAAACAAACAGATCGGAGTACCATTAGCTAAATGCTAATGCGCAAATGGAAAAAGTTTACTAATGCGGCATTAAAATCAGACTATTAAATGCCAGATTTCACATCTACAAAATATCTTCACCCGATTCGCTGAAAAATATCGAATTTAGAAAATTAATCAATACATCTAAAAATGAGTTTTCTGTCTGTTGAAAATAATTTCTCCTGAATTATATGTTGTTGAAACCCTAAAAACAGAAAAAATCACGAGCTAGTTACGCGCGTGACCTTTAAAGCATGGTGGGCAATTAATAGAGTTCGTGAGGGAAACAAAAATAACTTAATATATTATATATATGTACATTTATAAAAAATAAAATTTGCAAATATGTTAAAATTTTATTTTCAGAACATATATATAGAATATATATATACATATATACAAATATATATACATATATATATACATATATACAAATATATATACATATATATATATACATATAAATATATAATTATAATTATTACAAGTAAGCGTTTATGCAGGGTTTGTGCAGGCCAGAAATTGATGTACATTTTGACAAGATAAGAGGATGGTAATTGCGGTTTGTGTAAGCAATCGAAAGAATTTTATGATCCACACAACTAAATAATTATTTATTTATTAAAAAAAAGACGCCTCATACAATGTGTGCTTTTATTTTATTTTGTTTAAAGACAATTAAAATTATACTGCAAATCATTAAAAAATAAATCAACCAAAGATCACTAAACATAACATTCAAAACAAGTGTCTTTAAATCCCGCTTCCCTTAAAAGAATCGTCGGTAGGGTATGCAGGCACCAACCGCTCGCAAAACATCGACAAATGCTGATTTAGTTTGAAGTTTTCTCAACCATTGAGGAGCAGTCGGTGTTTTAAGTGACACGACTGCGATATGCCCTGTTCCCATCTCAGTCGACTGATTTCTATTAACTCGAATACATACATATATGTTAAACATTTTACTGTTACCACTGATTTGAATTTGTAATCAAAAATGAAATATATGCTGAAATATTATAAAATATATTATTACATATAATAATCATATTTTTATCATAACCGTATAGTAAGTACGCCCATATTCTTAGAGAACCAAGTTTAAAAAGTTGCAACAGACAAAATGTTCTTGACGCGCCGAAATGAAATAAACGCATGATGAAATATGCAACCTTCTTCGAAATGCCCCTCTTTGCAAATGAACGACTGAACTCGTGCAATGAGTTCGCGAGCATTAAAATGATACTAAGAATGAGAGAGTTAAAAACC